ATTTTTGGGATGGAATATCTGCCACCAGTAGGATAATCTTAGAAAAAAAAATCAAAAATAAACTCTATGTACTAAAAAAAAACTAATACCTCAAGATTGAATAGAAACCATTCAATCTTTGAGCCATCAGAACTCCGGCGACACTTGGATTGGCGTTGGCACTAGTTGGAATGGTGTCATGTCACTAATGTTATAATAATGACGGTCAGTTAACATTAGTTGCTCATTAATACGGCTTTCATACGACTTATCAGAATCTGGTATCGACAGCATTCCGACTGCCTTCAAACAAACATTGTTCAAGACATGTGTGGCATCCTGGTGACTCGGATCTGGTTCAGATGGACTAATCGCAGCTTGAAGCTATCCTGACTAACGCCGACGGCATTTGGACTACCGCTAGATACCCGCTGGCACACCATTTTGGTTATACCTTTGTCTGATCATCAACCAATGAGAATTTGACAACATCAAGCAATACTGATGTCTGACATTTCAATACGAGTCTACCATGATCAGCGCATACGGACTAACAACCCCTCACTTCAATCACATTGGAAAGGCTATTTCCCGCCTGGTGAAGGTCTCGGGACTTGGCACTGGTGGAAATGGTGCTGGCGGTACTAGCACTACTGCTAGGCTTCTGGGCATTCTGGAGTTCAAAAAGGCAGGCCCGGGCTTGGCACTATTTGGACTGGCGCTGGCGCCAGTGGGAATGGCGCCAGGCTTCTGGTCTTCCGGGTTGCTCATGTTGTGACTGAGGTGCCTTCGGTACTCCGCCTTCAGACTTTTGATAGGGCGTTGGTGCCTGTTGAGGTAACATCAGAGTCTTTCCTTCTAAAATGCTTCATGGTCAAGTTGTTTTGAGTTTGTCTCGCCTTGTTTCGTCTCTTGATGCCTTTGGTCCCACTGGAGCAATAAGGGTTTGGTGAAGGCCAAGTTTACGGAGAAAGGGTCTTGGTGGGGTGAATAGTTAAAAAATATCCCGGTGGTTTGCCTGAGACATTTCAACCTATCCATAACTTTTCCAATTGAGATCAGGGTGTCTACAGTTGCCCCTCTTTGTCGCATGTGTCTTACTCGAATGGCGAGACACAAAGTGGCAAAGAAGTAGACGCTTGCAGTGAAAGTTGGGTGGAGGAGAGAACCTAGACTCATCATCCATGGAATCATGGCTCATGAGAGAGGGGCATGTTTTGTCTGGTGGTCTCACCTGGGACCCAATGGTTAGCTTAGCTCGTTGTTTGGGGCATGGCAGGATGGTCAATCTCGGAATCAGCGCTTGGGACCCGGAGGTTGTAGCTATGTTTGTAGATTGTAGGGCCAGTGTACCACTTCTTCGAGGACTCTAAGTCAAAATCATCTTGAATGGAATGTAGTAGTTAAGAAGGGTGAAGAAATTTCGACTGAATAGATCATAGATGACCTCATATCCCAGGTGTGTTCTTAAGGTTGTCTAAGGCTAGTGATGGCTTAGGAATTGAGAGTTTTTCTTTTTGTTTTCTGGCTTTGATGGGGAAAAGGATTGGTAAGCAATTTCTATTTAAAGTAGCTATTTCCCAATAGATCGAGTGACTATGAGTGTAATATGATCATCATTATCGGGGCCGTTCCGCCTCCTTTGTTTTCGAAAATCATTTTTCAGAGCAAAAAGTTTTGAAATTAGGGATAAAGGTTTTAGAATAAATGTTAATGTCGGGTTACGATTTGAACAAAAAAGATTAAAGTTTTTTAAATAACATACACAAAGTGAAGGTTTTTTATATGACTTCAGACCAGGCTGCCCCTAGTGCTGGATTTTTGGTTTTTAGAACTTAGATATTTTTTAAAAGCTAAATATAGACTTAGTTCTCATTTTAAACTCATGCTACCAAGGAGTCATCCGAGCAGTTTAATGTCATGCAGTGATGGACAAGGTAAACAGTTTAACATCATGCATCCATGGACAAGATAAGCAATTTAACGTCATGCATCCATGGACTAATATCGAATAGGACTGCCCCTGGTGGTTATTGTCAGTATCCGTTGGGAAGCATTTAAGGGACATTGGCTTTGGCCAATCATATGATTACTTAGGGCATCCAGTATCCGCCTTAAGTCGGATCCAGGTCATTCTAGAGAGTAAAAGGGGTGGCAATTTTGCCAAGGTCGCCGATAAGTTTTGATTGTCTCCAAACGATGGAGAGGTATTTTGGTCATTTGTTGATACATGGGCCCCTCAGGGAATCATCCATCAAGTCTGGCCTGCCCCATTTGGGTCAGTAGGATACTATCTTGGATCCCTTGGGGGTTATTGCAAAATTGAGGGTCATAAATTTTAGGCTACATTGGACATGCCTTTAGCGACATTCTGAATGCCTTCAGACTGATCAGGTGTATTTTTGTCATTTGACAACACATGCCCTAAAAGAATTTTCCCATATCATGGGCTTACCCTGATTTTGGCTTGATGGGACTCGTCTCTGATCCCTTAGGGGTTGTATTTGAAATGGTGAATCATTTTCTTGAGCGACATTAGAAATACCTCTGGCGACATTTCAAATGGCTTCAAATGGTTAAGGGGTATTTTCATCATTTGATGACTCATGCCCCAAATGAATCTTTCCTCATTATGGGCTTGCCCTGATTTTGGCCTCATGGGACTTGTCTGTGATCCCTTGGGGTTTGGAATTGAAAAGACAAAGCATGGGGTTTAGCACCATTTGGAATAACTTTAGCGCCATTCCAAGTGGCGCCCAACTGTGGAGCCCTCTTTTATAAAAGGGATTCTTGGGCTTCCATAAGGGACCCATCCATGGTTCATTCCTATATCACTTTTGGACTTTTAGGATGTCTTCATACTGTCATATTCCATCCCAGGAATCAGTGACTACCGGCACTATTAATGGTTCTCATCGTGATGCTTGTTCCCAAGGACTGCCTCTTCTTTGTGATAATCCAGCATTTTAATCTAGGACGGTCTCCAATGGATCCATTAAGGCTCCATCATCCTCGTGCTTCGATCTTGTAGATTTTGACTTCCCCGAGGGGAATGGTTCCCATGTTTTGAAAAATCTCTACCAGGCCCTAGGTCGTGCTTCTCATGAGGAGGTATCCCTCTTCCCTTTCATCACGAAGACAGTGATAAGGGATTTGAAGGAGGTGGGTTCTCCGAGTATCGAATCTTTTTGTGTAGGAGATGGATGAACTTGTCATTCTTGCTGAGAAGATCATGGATTTAGAAGACTTGACTGAACCGTAGGTTCCATCGTTCTTCCTCGAAGAATTAGCTAAGAGGCAATGAGATTTTGTGAAGAACGGCTTCTGAAGGCTTTCTTGCTTTCGCATTTTGAACTGTTTCTTTTGTTTTAACCTTGTAATGATCCCATAATGGGTCCCCTTTGTAGAGACGCCTCATTTTTAAAACTGGGAAATTCCGTGATATTTCTAAACCCTTAGGACCATACTATCTAGTAAATCCCCAAACCGTAACATAATCCATACTGCCTGCCATGTGATCCAGAATCCTGCAGAATACCAAGTTTGGGTAAAAAATTCATTAAAAATAGCAAAAGACCTTGTTTTGACCCAAATTTTGGAAAGCAGCATCACAAGATCTCGTAGAAACCCCTAGAACTAGAAACTTTCCATTTTAGGTAGGTTTGGTCTGGGCAACACTACTAGTGTCGCCTAGCCCAGACTGATCCAAATTGGTTGATTTTTCATCTTGACAGCCTCTAGATCCCTCCAACACTGGAAATTTTCCATTTTGGACATTTTTGGTTTGGGCGACGCCAGTAGTGTCGCCCAGCCCAAACTGACCCAAGTCGATTGATTTTTTATAGGTAACATCCCGACGATTCCAAAATCACCCCAGACTGGAATCTGTCGATTTTGAACAGATTTGGTCTGGGCGGCCCTCCTAGTGTCAC